ATCATTTTTGTTGTTTGGATTAAATTTTCTAACAAAATTCATAAGCTTGGACATGAACAAAAATGAATTATTCAAATATACATTCCACAAACATGTTCGAATTACTATTTTTTGTTCGTAAATTTATGTTCAAACATTTAATTTTTGTTTAAAAATTTATATCCAAACAACATAAAACAATGTATGAGAGGTGGCTCACAAGGAATACATGCACACAAGAGAGCACAGTTTAAACAATATGGGAAGTTCATAACAACTTTCCAATTAAAAATGCTTTCATATGCCCGTATGTGCATAAGTAGTTCAGTGTTTGAATTCATTTACTAATTCAATTTTAGTTAAGTTCAAATTAAATATGCAATTGAACAATTCTTTAAATAATCAAGCTGGAACTCCATTTGAAACGCAAATTGAAATTAAAAATCGTGTTATTATAAATATCATAAATATTTTTTTTATCTTATTAAATTCATAGATAATGCATTTTGTATGTATGAAGATTGCTGCGTATCACTAAAATATAATATGATAGGTCTTACATATACAAATATAATTTATTGTGCACATACACATAAGATGCAAAATAAAATAGTAAAATTCATCTAATAATAAATGTCATTTCCATTTACCAAGTCAAGCTTATTTTAGCTTGAACTTAAATTTAGGCTCAAACACACTCTTTGTCTCAAAAACAAAACTCAAACTAATTATGAATAACTCAATTCTCTTGCAGTCAATGCTCCTTTCTCTCTCATACGTGCACAAAAACAAGATATTCTTGAGTTAAGTAAGTTGCCGTGACAAGACAGACACAATTTTGAGGGACACTTTTTTGAGTTACTCATTGAAGAGGACACAAACTTTGGGTCACACAATCCTTGCAGGTCTTCTGTTTTGAGGGACACACTGACCCATCTTTATTATATAAGAAACAACACATGAGAGAGAAACATGGTACACCAATTCAGCAAATTTTTTTTTGCATTAGATGATGGGCTTTTTGAATCTACTGATGATTTTCCCTATATTTGGTTTAGTGGGCTTAAGGGTGGTAGTATTTGCAGGTACACATAATGTTCCAACCTATGACCATAACTACGAGGTTTTATATGGAGCTCAACATATCTTGCCATTTCATCAAGGCAGAGAAATCGGGCTCTCTCTCGATGAATCCAGTGGTCGCCTCTTATCCCACTTTTTGTCACTCGTTAAAATTATCTGATAAGTCTAACTCATTACATAGCAGTATTTCCTTATTATTGAAATTACATATCAGGTGCCATGTAAACTGAATTTACTAAATTTTTCGCTTTCCATTTATCTCATTCATAATCTCCATTTCTTTCCCCAAATATAAATTCTATCAAAAAACTGGAAAATTATAGAATACTCTAGGACTACTGAATAATCATCCAAAAAGGAAAATTATAGAATAACACATCTATTTTCAAGCTTTTCTAAGTGTAAAATCACCAAAATATTCCATGTTGTAATTAAAATGTGAAGAAAAAACAAACAAGCAAACAAATAATGGAAGAGTAAAGCTCATCAACTTGTTTCAAATAGATTATGTCTTAGTTCATAGCACATTTCGAAAGTGTGTTCAAATTTTAACTGTTAACCAAGCTATGATATATAGAGCCAAGATTTATTCTTTGTGACAATGATGTTTTGTCACCAATCAGGATCTGGAATTAAATCCAAGTTGAATTATACTTCTGGGTTCTTCCATATGAACATTAAGCTACCAGCCAATGACTCCGGAGGAGTCGTAACAGCCTTCTATGTAAGTTTACAATTACATATATATTTGTACTCCTTGGTTTAAGGTTATCACTGACACAAAAAACAAAAACAAAAAAGGCGATCTAGTGCAAGAAACTCCTGCTAAAAAGGTGTCACTGATAACATAATGTAAATTCTTTTTTTTTTCCCTTTCTTTTGGCAGTTGAAATCGGAAGATAGTGAATTGGATTTTGAGTTCTTGGGCAACAAAAAAGGGAAGCCCATCGGAGTTCAAACGAATGTCTTTTTAAAAGGAAAAGGGGGTAGAGAGCAGAGGATCCATCTTTGGTTTGATCCAATTGCGAACTTCCATACTTACAAAATCCTATAGAACCAACATCAAATAGTGTAACGCAACTACTAAACACATTCCAATTTGAAAATTAAACTTATTCCACAAACTGCTTCTCAAAGCTGGCTATTTTCAAAAGAAACAAAATCATTATATTTGAAAATTAAAAATACCCTGTTTCAATTAAACATTTTTAAGTTGTCTTTTAAATATGTCTACACAAAGATGAAATTTATTTATTTATTTATTTTGATATTTTCAAACTTTCCATTATTTTTGTTTCTAAAAACACAAAAACATCGAAATTGAAAATGACATCACACTCCTTAAATCACTATCTGTTGAGTTCTAACTTATTTTGTTAATCGTGTTTTCGCCCAACAGTTATTTTGTTGATGAATATCCCATTCGAGTTTTCAAGAACAACAGACGTGATAGAGTTGGCTTCCCAGCACAACCAATGCAACTAATGGCAACTATATGGGACGGAGATAGTTGGGCGACGAATGGTGGAAAAACTAAAATCATTTGGGCTCATGCACCGTTTATAAGTCACTTTTGGGGCTTTGCCATTGATGGATACCCCTATGACAGCTCTCACAGAAAATCATGTAATTCTCCGAAGTTCTGGTGGAATGGAAAGAATTACTGGCAACTGTCTCCTAACCAAGAAAGAAGGCATCAAGTCATAAAGCGCAATTATATGTACTATGATTACTGCAATGACAGAACTAAACACCCAACATATCCCCCAAAATGCCCACAGTGATAACAACCCTTTATTTTCCTATTACATACTTAATCATCAGACAAAAAGTGCAATTTAAAACTATTGAATTCACAATATAATATTATGTTTAATCACTTTCTACTTCTTCTAATTCTCAACCTTCTCTAGGACCATATATGTTTTTCAGAACAACTACTCGAGCCTGTCTTTCTAGTTCTAAATACACACAATATTGTAGAATTGAGCTGCACCATGCACAAAAATATGCACACAAACATTGATGAGCAGTCATCAGAATCAATGCTTCATTTGTATATTCTTCTCATTCATAGCATAAGAATCAACTGTGTCCAAATTTCATACAGTATTTCTTGAACACAACCATTTGCCACTATCTCACCATCACAACCCTTCCATCAAATTAAGCAAAGCAAAACACTACACAATAGACTTCAGAGCAAAACAGAATGTTCCCAGGCAAAATTCAAAATAAGCATTATTTGCATTGGCTCTATAATAAAAAAATCACCAAAATGTATGGAAAGTTACTTCATTCAAAATAGGTCCATTAAAAGATTGCACCTCTGCAATAAATACCAACAATGCAATCATGGGCCCAAAAAGAAAAGAAAAAAACAATAAAGAAAAAAAATAAGATAAGGTCATTCAAGAAAAAACTTATGCAAATGTATTGCAACTTAGGCAATGAAAACTTTAACAGAAACTTATTTTTTGACCCAAAAGAAAGAAAATTCAACAAAAGCAGTAAAATAAAATTAAAAAAACGTGTCTAACACATTGTCAAGTAAGTGAATTATGTTTGGTAAAAATCAATTTTTTGTACTTAATTTTTTTTTTCTCTCATTCAAAAAAGATACATAATTTTTTGTTTCAACTAACATGATTTTAAATAGGCCAAATTAATATAAAAATAATCGATAATTTAGTTAAATATATGGCGTTAGTAAAGAGAATACAACGCAATTTCAACTCATACTATATAATTTGATCATTGCAATTAGCCAGGAAAAAAGAAGAAGAAATATAGCTCATTTTCATACTATTATCCTTCATATTTCATTTTGTGAGTTGCACTCTAGGCCCTCTTCGTCTCGTAAACTTCGTGATCAAGACCGTTTGTACGAAAAATTAACTTTTCAAAATATTATAAATAAATTACATTTTATTTTATAAACAAGATGGTTTATAAACTCGTAAATATCATCTATTTTAAAAAATAAAATGTAATTTTTTTTCATATATCTTGTTTGGTTTCATATATCTATTTATATCCAAAATTGACTTTTTTATTTTATTTTATTTTTTTTTGTTTTCACTGAATTTTTTTAATATTTAAAATAATTTTTTTTAGTTTTTAAATAAATCTGACATAAATACACTTAAAACATATAATATTTGTTAATTTTTTTTAAATTCAATAACTATCAAAAATATAAAAATTTAGTACATTTTGTATTATTGTGTATTAATTAATTTTTTAAAATATTTTTTTATAAATATTTTACTTTTTAGGTATATTTAAGTTGAGTGCATTTAAAATGTAAAAAAATTTGTTTCAAATATGAGTAAATTACACTGACATCCCATGAGGTTTGTATTTAATACATATCATCCTCTAACGTTTGGAAAATTACATTCTCACCCGTGTGGTTAATAGTATCATTTTACAACCCTTATTTATATAAAAAGTAACAACTCTTGGTAGAAAAGTATTATTTTACAACCCCCTATTTATATAAAAGGTAACAACTCCTGGTAAAAAAAAGATAAAACTATATTGAAAAAAAAAAAAAAGGAAAGCAAAGGAAAGTATAGGAAAAAAAACATAAAAGAAATAAAACAAAATAAGAAAAAAGAGAGTCTATGAATTCAATATCTTTTGATATCAACATTATTTTAATCTAAATAATTACAATGACAGTGGGATCAGTGTGATTTTTCAAACGTCATAGGTGATATATATTAAACCCAAATCTCAGAAGGGGTAAGTGTAATTGATCTTTAAAATATTAAAAAAAAAAATCAATTTTTTAAAAATTTGAGTTCAAAAATTAAAACCAAACAATATGATATTAAATAAAATTAATTTTTTACACAATATATTTTTATTGTTAAATTGAGAAGATGAACGGTTGGGATCATTCCTAAATGAAATATGAGAGGAAGCCGTTTAAGAAAAGAACAGAAGCAAGGAGTCGTGGACAAGGCAGCGACTCTTCAATAAAACCATCGGAGTCCTCTCTAGTAGAGAGAGAGAGTAGAGAGAGATCAATGGCGGGCGTATCTCTCAAGTGTGGCGACTGTGGAACCCTCCTGAGATCAGTGAAGGAAGCTCAAGAACACGCAGAGCTCACCAAGCACTCCAACTTCTTCGAATCCATCGAGCCCGTTCTCAACCTCCTCTGCTCCTCCTGCCTCAAACCCTGCCGCTCCAAAACCGTGACCACAATCCCAATTCACACACATATACGCACACACACACACATGCACATATATGCATATATGTGATTTTGATTTCTGGGTTTTAATATATATTAATGTAACATATATGTATATATATTATATATTAAACACACACAGCACTAATATATTATATATATATATATAAGGTGATAGGATGCCAGAGCACGCCTTCCTTCACTTTCGGCTGCTTTCGGCCACTTTCTATTATTTTATGTAATGTAACATAATGATGTTGTAAACAATAGCTCCTATAAATAGGAGTCTCCTCTTACACTGTCTGACACAATTAATATACAAGAGATTTCTTACATTCTCTTATTTCTTTCATGGTATCAGAGCACAGGTATACTTTAGTTAATGAGTGGAATTTAAGCTATTGTTTAATGAAATATTAGCTAAGTTAATAAAGATATGTAGAGGGTATGTCTCATAAGTGACAAATGTGTTAATTTTGGATTTTGGGTAGGGCTGGAAACAAGCCGACTAGTGCAATGTTGAACGAGTTTTTGACAAACACGTGTCAAGCTCGAATAGCTAAGTTTTTTTAAAATAGAATTTTTTTGAACAAAGTCAACATTTTTTTTATACATAATGAGCCAAATTTATATTTAAAAACAGAGAATTATTAAAACTTAAAAGGCGTAGATAGACAAAGAAGCTATGCAACCAACAACAAAACTAATCCAATATCCTCCAAACCATTATGTTTACTGTAATGTATTGATATTAATTTGTTGGATTTGGTGAGTGGGAGGTGCACATTTTCATTTTCAGAACATGTGGTTATCTGACTATCTTCTATTTGTTCTCCATTAGAAATGGTTGTTCCAGAAGTTGACCAGAAGTTGCTTGAGGAACTTGAAGGAATGGGATTTCCTAAGGCAAGGGCGACCAGGGCACTTCATTACTCTGGTGAGGGCATTTGGAAGTTTATCTTCTTTATTGAATTATTGTTTACAGTGAATTTTCTGACAAGTGACAACTGGCTTTTTATCTTTTATTTTTTGAACACTTGTCTAAAATTCTGTTGGTTCAGGGCTGTATCAGTATGACTAAAGAACAATTTAAGCTTTTAAAAAGTTTTGTAGCCTGATCTAATTGGGTATAGAATTATGGGGTTAGGTGCACCATGAAAACCTTGAGGTGCAGCAGTTATCTTTTCCATTGGGCTGATGTGATATTCTATATTTTATGAAGTCAAATTATTTGTTTCTCAATTGGGCAAAAAATGCCTTTGCGTAACTGATGGTCGTTTAGTACCATCTTCTATTTTGTATGGTCATTGTATCATATTAGGTAGTGAAGGGCTAATGATTTTTCTTTTCATGTTTAGTTTTTATTTGTATTATTTTTCTCAAATTTCTTGTTTTTTATTGATTGCATCTTTTTTTCCTGCTTCAATTGAATGAGATAAATTGTTTCTGCACTATATGAAATTTTTATATAATTGCAGTTTGGATGATCTGTAAGTACCTTTGCCAGTTGGGTCTTTTGTGAGTGTTGCTTGTCATATTGTGTTAGTATTATGTGAATTTTATTTTTAACCTACTTGCTTCAAACTTTTCCAGGTAATGTTGGCCTTGAGGATGCTGTGAATTGGGCAGTTGAACATGAAAATGATGCAGATATAGATCAGATGCTGAAGGTTTGATTTTTTTTTGTTCAGTCTTCAGACACATCTTAACATATTCATCTACCTGCTTCATTCTTATTTTACCTTTTTACTTTTGGATTAATCAAAATAAGATTGATGTCCAAGCATGTTACTACATGGCATTTTTGTGTACTTTGTTTATTTAAAAATTCTGTTATGTGCATGTATGATATATAAGAATTTAAGCTTATGATGTTATTGAGAAAATAATGATGCTAAGGGTTTGGGGAACTTTGGAAGGCTTGTAGAGCAATTGAACTTGGTAATCCTTGTGAGTTGAAATCATCCACACCACAATAAGTATGGCGGCAGCGGTGGCAAAGTAAAAAATCTGCAAATTCATAACCGGTTGATCCTATGGCAATAGAGTGTTGTGGGCTTTGATACCAAATTGATGAGCAGAGGAATACAGGGGAGGAGAAAAAGAAATGCAACAGGACAAGAATATGAAGGAGGAGAGAGAGTTGCAGAGAGAGGGAGATGAAATGATATTCTGAAATTCTACAAATAACCAAGTCTGGAATCCAGTAAATCAAACCTATTATTGACGGGGCAAACCCGGAAAGGAAATAAATCTCTATCAAATTATGCCTAGAAATAGGGAAATTACAAAATTAAAGCCCTAAATTAATCAACAATTTATTTTGAAATTCAGCATTTCGTTTACGTCTAGAAACATTTATAACTCCCTGATCATGATTCCCACCACCACTTCTTATCTATCATTTGTTGGCCATCCTACATTTGTGACATGATTGCAACTTTGGTATGTTTTTTTGCACAGCTGCTCATTTTCATTTGGATATTGTGGTTGTTGATCTGGCTTGCTTGAATAGCTGCTGTTTGGTTCTGAACCTTACACTAAATCCCTTTCTATGTTCTGTGTTTGAAGTGCATCCTTGTGACATTGTGTTTTAGTTTTCATTCCTCTTCTCCCAATTTATCGCTTTAGTGTTTCGTGGGAATTGTTTTTGTGCATGCATTATTGATGTGACATCTTTGGAAAAAAAACTGAGTGTATGCCCGAGTAAAATATAGCTTTGCAAAGATTTGAATATCACTTGCCTAATTCTGCCTAGGTACCTCTCAACACCAAAACTGAGGCTCCCAAGCCATCTCTTACTCCTGAAGAAACAAAGATGAAAGCACAGGAACTAAAGTAATGCTTATTTTGCCCTTGTTATCTGTGCTCTTTAATGACCTTGAGATGCAAACTTATTCTGAAGCTTCATTCCATGATGTCTTAAACATTTTCCATGCGAAATTCTAAATTGTCTCATTTTCTTGTTGGTATGGTTTGCATCATGGGGTTAGGTAAAAGTCTACTTGTAATAACTAATAAGATTGATTTAACGTTAATGATGTATTGGTTGGGTTCTCATTGGCTTTCTTTAGCAGCTATGGATACTTGGTTGTCTCCACGGAGAAACATTTCCTGAAATTTCTTCACTTATGTCTTTAGAGCCAGAAACTTTTTCTAACTTTTTTTTTTCCACCCCCTTTAGGGCCAAAAACTTAATTCTAGACAAAAATTTAAACTTGGGTACATACATGAGACCATTTTTTTAAAAAATAAAAAATAAATTTACTATGATTGTCCTTTTTACTATTGCTTCTGTTTCTAATGTTATTAATCTTTTCAATGCTTAAGGGAGCAAGCTCGCAAGAAGAAAGAAGAGGAAGAGAAGCGAATGGAAAGAGAGAGGGAGAAGGTGATTCTTAATTTACTCGAGGATATGCCTTCTTGTCATATTGACTTTGTATTTTGTAGTACCATTTTTCAGCTATGAACTTATTGTGTCATATTATTATTGTTCTGTGTTACCAGAAAACGCTGATACCCTAGCGAATTACGTATTGCTACACACATTCCGAAACATGGTACTCTTCCGTTCCAAAATGGTAAATTTAGTGATCCAAAGTGATCCCAATTTTTTTTTCCAATATATTTCCTTAAATGTTACCTTAGGAGAAATAAAAATTAAATATAATGAACTAAAATCTAAGGCGACTTAAGTTTTGACAAGACAAAAACATAAAAAATGGAAACATATATGTATATATATATTTTAGATGCCTAATAGTTAAAAGAAAATTACTCAAGAAATACCTTAAATTCTTAAAGTGTAATACATACAAGTCTACCCCTATCGTACCACATTTTAAAACATGTTTCATTCCACGTTCCAGGTAACATAGTTTCGGATTGGTTAAATAATAAAGAAATTGGAGTTAAAGTGAATTTTGTATGACTGAAGATATTATTACTGTGTATTTTTTGTGATTAAATGATATTCTAGAAAATGTTTCATCTGTTAAAGATAATTAATAACATCTGTATCTAATGTATACTGTGTTGTTTGCATTTATTATCATTCCATAGTTAAGAGATGTGTCTATTACAAAGCTTTCATTTTTTGTGTAAAATAAACTTTTGTGAATCTTCTTTTTCCCTTGTAGATTTTATAGGAGAATTCTTGTCAGTTCATATAAGGTTCACCCCTTTTGGCGGTTTCTTTAATATGATTTTCTTTACTTATCAAATATATATATTTCTCAAAGCATCTGCTTTGAAGCTTGTGAGCTTTTTTGAGCATCAGGACCCTACCAACAACCCCCCTCTCTTACTTTCGAACAAGAATAGATTTTAAGATTGTATATTGTTGTTGAAAGATTAATTTGAAAGAGAGGCTAGAGAGCAAAAGAGTGTTTCTGTATATGTGTGTTATGTTTTACAAGAGAAATAAACTCTCTCTTTATAGAGAGAGGCAATGTACATTGGATGCCAATCCATTACCACCGAAAGCAGAAAGAAGCCAGCTATACAATTAGCAAGAAAGCTAGACAGCTATACAACAATTAACAAATTAACAATATTATATTAACAGCCCCCCGCAAACTCAAGGAGGGAAAGCATCTACCAAGTTGAGTTTGGAAACAAGATCAGTAAAGCGGCCAGGAGGATGAGCCTTAGTGAAGATATCAGCGGGTTGATCGACTGAAGCAATAGGAAGAAGATGAACAGGATGATATTTCAATATGTAAATTTATTTAATTCAATATTTTGCAGTTACCATAGAGTTTCTTCTTTTGTTTCGGTTGTTGTTTGCGTGGCATTTGTTCTTGTTGGGTTGTTGGTTGTTGTTCCACTTGCATTCCAACTATACACAGTGAAAATCAAACAAGCCCCAAAAATGGAATAAGAAAATATACAGAGAAATGAAATGAGCAGTAGAAATATAACTAATGTATTCAGAGAGATATAACTTCCAGAGAAAATTAACAATGACAGAGAAAATTATAATAAATAGAAATTTCTCTTAGTTATGTTGGCACAATGACATAACTTTTTGTGGCTCAAGATTTTCACTGACCTTGTGGTTGAAGTTGTGTTGGTGTTCGGTATGGTTGTGTTGCTAGTTGGACGGATAGTTCTTGAACTTGTTCATGCAATTTAGCATTTTCAGTTTCAAGCTCCGAATTTGAACACCTCAACTGTTGAATTGTTTTTGTATCGTCTACTTTTTCAACCTCCAACATCCTTAGTTTCATTCGGATTGTGCTTTCTTTTTCTTGAAGTTCTGAGTTATGTGATGTCAGGATTCTTATTGAAATATCCTTTTCAGCAAGTAATTCAATCCAATTTCTGTCTTCTTCTTTTTTAGATTGAGACAGTGCCTTCAGTCTCTGACGTAGATCAGCAATTTGGGCATCCTTTGATTCCTCAAATTTTTCAGGCTAATGCATTGTTGAGCCACAAATGCCATCATGTTGTTGGTCCATCGGCTCATTATTTTCTTCTTCATCACTTTCATCCTTGTTCTCTTCTTGTTGTTCATCTTCTTCTTCATCTTCTTGTTCACTGTCTTCTTCTTTCTGTTCATTTTGTTCTTTGTCTTCTGGTTCTATTTCTTCACTTTCTTCGCTGGTTTCTTCTTCTGTGCTGCTTGCTTAATGTTCTTGTCCATTGCTGGCTTTGTATTCTTCTGTGTTGCCTTCTGCTTGTTCATTCCCTCCATCTTCAGATGGATCTTGTAATGTCTCCTTGAATATGACAATTGCCTTTTTTAATTCTTTCTTCGTCTTTTTGCCAAGACAGAACTCCTCTGATGGGTTTTTGACTAGCTGCTTGTTATCAATCTGTAACAGGAGACTCTTTTATTAGAGAAATGTTACAAAATTCACTGAGAGAAAAAATTCAAATAAGGAAAATAAAATTCATCTAAATGATACTAATGGGAAACAAACTTCAGAGAAAATTGTATAGGCCAGACAAAATTAGAGACATGGAGTTAATTTTATGGGGCAGAGAAAATTATGAAACAAGCAACATAATTTAGATATCAGAGAAAATCAATCAAGGTATATAAGTTGATGTTTTACTATAATTGTCTCAGAGAAATTTGAATTCCAGTGAAAATTCATTAGAAGGGTAGAAATAAACAGTGTTTATCAAAGATGCAAGGCACATAAGTTATAGGCAGAGAAAATTACACACAAGGAGATAAAATTTGATAGGCCAGAGAAAATTATGAAACACCCAACATAATTCAGATATTAGAGAAAATCAATCAGGGCATATAAGTTAATGTGTTACAATTGTGGTCAGAGAAATTTGGATGGCAGAGAAAATTGATTACAATGGCAGAAATAGACCAGTGGTAAGCAAAGAAGAAAACATAAATTGATATTTCAGAGAAAATTAATCTTAATCAATCAATGCACAAAGAGGGAAACAAAGCAATGGTCAGAGAAATTTTGGAATTTCACTGAGATTTCAGTAGCAATAGGAATCTAACCTGTCGAGGTGCAAGAGAGTGGACTGCTGTCTTCTGCAGCTGTTTCGTCAAGGTTTGCAGGTTCCACTTGGCACATCTTGGGAAGTCAGTTGTGTTACTGTCTTCCGAGTCAATGATAGTTGCATGTTCACATAGCCAATACTGTGATAAAAATGAAAGTAAATAAAATTTTGTAAACACACAAATTTGTAAGTATGATAACTGCAAATTTGAATGGATATTATACTTACTAGCAATGCAATGACACATCCCGTAACTTTTTCTGGAGTTTTGTGCAATGCCATGATAGAATAAATCAATGTTGATGTGATTGCTTCCGGCCAATCATACTGTTTCATTGATGCAAGAAGTTCCACATACTTTATAAAAACCCAACCTATTGAATTCCCACTTGTTGCAAAAAATAGGGTGAGACACAAGTACAATGTAACAATGATTGCTACATCTTTGAAGTCAGTTGGTTGCTTGCCTTTAATTGCTTTGACCAAGGCATTTTTAAGAACAGGACCAGTGAGCCTTGTGTCCTTTTGGAATCTTCTCCTGAGGAATGCAGATTTTGGCTTTTTAGAGTATCTTAATGACATGGCTCCTTTACCTCCTTCCAAACCAAAAATCAAGGTCATGTCATTTGTTGTAAAGGTCAGGTTCTTCTTCCCAACTGTGAATGCTTTTGTTTTTTCATTGTAACATTGGATTATGGCAACTACATCATCGGATTTCCTAGATTTCTTTGGATCCATCCTTCCAGTGGTTAGAGCTTGGATCAAATACCAGAATGGGGTATTTTGAGCTCTACAAGTTGGTTTGATTGAGTCTTTTGAAGTTGGGGTACTCATCTGGATGCTAGTTGCTTCATCAGCTTGGACTTGTGTGTTTTGGGAAGGAGTTTGTGGTGTTTTAGTGCTGGTTTTTGATCTTAGATGATAAGAGGACTGAGAGAGTTGTTCTTTCTTGCTTGGTGTTTCTAGTGTTTTGCTACTGGTTTTTTATCTTAGTCCATAAGAAGACTGAGAGAGTTTCTGTTTTTTGCTTGGTGTTTCCGGTGTTTCGCTGTTTTTACGTTTTGCCATTTCTAGACAATGATTAAAACATAGAGATGTCAACATTAAATCCCAGAGAAAAATGGAAATGTCAGAGAAAATTACAGATAAGGGAGAACATTACAAAAAAGAGAAAATTGGAGATGCTAGAGAAAATTTGACATGCCAGAGAAAATTGGACATTAAAAATTAAATGTCAGAGAAAATCAACACAGCATCATAAACATGGGAGAGAAATTTTCAATAATTGTTTAAATTACATATAGAAGTAAACATACCAGAGAAAATGAATGATAGAAAAAAGTAAACATGGCAAGCCAAAGAAAATTTTCATTCTACAATTAGCAAGATAAAATAAACAAAGTAATGTAAACATGTCACTGAGAATTACACCATATTGAAATCAAGAATTGAACAAAATAAACATACCAGAGAAAAATACACATTCCGGAGAAAATTACACATTCTTGAGGAAATTTCCATTCCAGAGAAAATTTCAATTCATAATATTAAAATGCAAGAGAAATTTACATACACAACCAGAGAAAATTAACCATGATAGAGACACTCAAAGGAGGAAAGTGGTGCGATGTGGTCAGAGAAAATTATAAATACCAAAGAAACTTAGACAGGGACAAGAGTGTAATAGACATTGCAGAGAAAGATACATATTCCAGAGAAATTTACAAAGCAGAGAAATTCATAGACAAAATGACAGAAACATATTCAAGAATAAGATCAAAATTCAGAGAAATAATTTTTTCTCAAAGTACACATGGCAGAGAAAATTCAAAGAATAAACATTCATTCCAGTCCATAATATTAAAATTCCAGAGAAAATTAAAAATGACAAAGACACAAGGGAGGAAAGTGATGTGATGTGGTCAGAGAAAATTATAAATACCACCCTGTAGACAGAGGCAAGAAAGCAATAGACATTGGAACCCCAATTAAAAATACCAGAGAAACTTAAGACATTGGAACCAAAAAATTCCAATTAAAAATACATATTACAGAAACACAAAATAAACATGCCAGAGAAAATTGAAAGAAAAAACGTACATTAATCAAAAATCAGAGAAATTCAAATGTTAGAGAAATTTACAGATAAAATCACACAAACATGTTGAAGAATAAGTTCAAAATACACAGAAATAACTTTTTCCAAATTCAGGTAGCTTTTTATTACGAAATTGAAACCCTAATTTATGAAAGGTTATTATAAAATGCTATTAACTGTGTTTCCAGAGAAAATCTAGTTGTATTGTAGAAAAACTTACCAGAGTTAGGATGAAACTTGAATGACGAGCTGATATGGCCCGAGATGAAGATGCGACGTGACGAAGATGGACTGAGATGATGATGAGCAGTGAAAACGAAGCTTTAACCTAGGTCAGAGAAATTTGTGAGGAAGGAATGAGAATGATTTTTAGAGAAGATAACGAAACTCTAATGTCGATGGTGCAGATGATGTTGAAACCCTAATTCTGCTGTTCTCCTGTTCGTGAAGATGCGGGATGTTTGGAATGTAACTCAGACGTCGGAATGAGTTTGTTTCTGTGTTGATTTTGGCAAGGGTATTTTGGTCCACAAAATAATTAAAAACGCGCGCCAAGTTGTTTGCAATATTCGGTCAATTGCTTTCATGCTGATCAACATAAAGGACATGTGTTGTCCAATTTTGTTATTACAATTAAGTTGAGACAAAGAAAGCAACTGTTGAAGGGACTTTTTGGATGTATTTTTCATGTTGCCAGATATTAGGATGGTAAAAGGTTCTGAATAACCGCATAAGAGAAACAAAACCACTAGCATGAGAGTGATCACTGTCTGATGCAAACTTTGTCAACAGTAAAAGGCTTTACCTTAGAACTCTTCTTTTTTTTTTTTCTTTTTTCAGTGAAAGCTAGTGAATTTATTGGGCAACAAACCGTCTTTGTAGTGAACATGACTGCTTTTGAAAATTGTCCCCTGCGAAAGGCTTCTTCATCTGATGATTTTTTTGGTTTATATCTCGTTAATGCTATGACCATCTAAATATGGCCTACATGACAATATATAAAACTTCTCAAAGTATATCTTGTTAGATGACCATAGGTCTTTGTTTTTTTTTTTTTTTTTTTTTGGGCTTGTGTAGGAGAGTGATTTGCACACGAAGAGGACTGGGCACCACGAATTTGTGGACAGGACGTTGGAGACCGTGAAGCCAATAAGTTTGGATGTTCAGAAGGGCTGCAAAGGGGATGTGGAGATGGAAGAGTCTAGTAGTAGTAATAAGCATGAAGGTTCTGTTTTGTGTGTGATTGATTGTGCTTTATGTGTTGTATTTGACAATGTGGTTATCAATTTTATGATTTTTTTTGAATATGTGTGATTTGAGGAATGTGAATTTTGCAAAATTTGTAGAGGGTATGTCTCGTAAGTGACAATGTGTTAATTTTGGATTTTGGGTAGGGCTGGAAACAAGCCGACTAGTGCAATGTTGAACGAGTTTTTGACAAACACGTGTCAAGCTCGAATAGCTAAGTTTTTTTAAAATAGAATTTTTTTGAACAAAGTCAACATTTTTTTTATACATAATGAGCCAAATTTATATTTAAAAACAGAGAATTATTAAAACTTAAAAGGCGTAGATAGACAAAGAAGCTATGCAACCAACAACAAAACTAATCCAATATCCTCCAAACCATTATGTTTACTGTAATGTATTGATATTAATTTGTTGGATTTGGTGAGTGGGAGGTGCACATTTTCATTTTCAGAACATGTGGTTATCTGACTATCTTCTATTTGTTCTCCATTAGAAATGGTTGTTCCAGAAGTTGACCAGAAGTTGCTTGAGGAACTTGAAGGAATGGGATTTCCTAAGGCAAGGGCGACCAGGGCACTTCATTACTCTGGTGAGGGCATTTGGAAGTTTATCTTCTTTATTGAATTATTGTTTACAGTGAATTTTCTGAGAAGTGACAACTGGCTTTTTATCTTTTATTTTTTGAACACTTGGCTAAAATTGTGTTGGTTCAGGGCTGTATCAGTATGACTAAAGAACAATTTAAGCTTTTAAAAAGTTTTGCAGCCTGAGCTAATTGGGTATAGAATTATGGGGTTAGGTGCACCATGAAAACCTTGAGGTGCAGCAGTTATCTTTTCCATTGGGCTGATGTGATATTCTTTATTTTATGAAGTCAAATTATTTGTTTCTCAATTGGGCAAAAAATGCCTTTGCGTAACTGATGGTTGTTTAGTGCCATCTTCTATTTTGTATGGCCATTGTATCATATTAGGTAGTGAAGGGCTAATGATTTTCTTTTCATGTTTAGTTTTTATTTGTCTTATTTTTCTCAAATTTCTTGTTTTTTATTGATTGCATCTTTTTTTCCTGCTTCAATTGAATGAGATAAATTGTTTCTGCACTGTATGAAATTTTTATATAATTGCAGTTTGGATGATCTGTAAGTACCTTTGCCAGTTGGGTCTTTTGTGAGTGTTGCTTGTCATATTGTGTTAGTATTATGTGAATTTTATTTTTAACCTACTTGCTTCAAGCTTTTCCAGGTAATGTTGGCCTTGAGGATGCTGTGAATTGGGCAGTTGAACATGAAAATGATGCAGATATAGATCAGATGCTGAAGGTTTGATTTTTTTTGTTCAGTCTTCAGACACATCTTAACATATTCATCCACCTGCTTCATTCTTATTTTACCTTTTTACTTTTGGATTAATCAAAATAAGATTGATGTCCAAGCATGTTACTACATGGCATTTTTGTGTACTTTGTTTATTTAAAAATTCTGTTATGTGCATGTATGATATATAAGAATTTAAGCTTATGATGTTATTGAGAAAATAATGATGCTAAGGGTTTGGGGAACTTTGGAAGGCTTGTAGAGCAATTGAACTTGGTAATCCTTGTGAGTTGAAATCATCCACACCACAATAAGTATGGCGGCAGCGGTGGCAAAGTAAAAAATCTGCAAATTCATAACCGGTTGATCCTATGGCAATAGAGTATTGTGGGCTTTGATACCAAATTGATGAGCAGAGGAATACAGGGGAGGAGAAAAAGAAATGCAACAGGACAAGAATATGAGGGAGGAGAGAGAGTTGCAGAGAGAGGGAGATGAAATGATATTCTGAAATTCTACAAATAACCAAGCCTGGAATCCAGTAAATCAAACCTATTATTGACGGGGAAACCCGGAAAGGAAATAAATCTCTATCAAATTATGCCTAGAAATAGGGAAATTACAAAATTAAAGCCCTAAATTAATCAACAATTTATTTTGAAATTCAGCATTTCGTTTACGTCTAGAAACATTTATAACTCCCTGATCATGATTCCCACCACCACTTCTTATCTATCATTTGTTGGCCATCCTACATTTGTGACATGATTGCAACTTTGGTATGTTTTTTTGCACAGCTGCTCATTTTCATTTGGATATTGTGGTTGTTGATCTGGCTTGCTTGAATAGCTGCTGTTTGGTTCTGAACCTTACACTAAATTCCTTTATATGTTCTGTGTTTGAAGTGCATCCTTGTGACATTGTGTTTTAGTTTTCATTCCTCTTCTCCCAATTTATCGCTTTAGTGTTTCGTGGGAATTGTTTTTGTGCATGCATTATTGATGTGACATCTTTGGAAAAAAAAAATGAGTGTATGCCCGAGTAAAATATAGCTTTGCAAAGATTTGACTATCACTTGCCTAATTCTGCCTAGGTACCTCTCAACACCAAAACTGAGGCTCCCAAGCCTTCTCTTACTCCTGAAGAAACAAAGATGAAAGCACAGGAACTAAAGTAATGCTTATTTTGCCCTTGTTATCTGTGCTCTTTAATGACCTTGAGATGCAAACTTATTCCGAAGCTTCATTCCATGATGTCTTAAACATTTTCCATGCGAAATTCTAAATTCTCTCATTTTCTTGTTGGTATGGTTTGCATCATGGGGTTAGGTAAAAGTCTACTTGTAATAACTAATAAGATTGATTTAACGTTAATGATGTATTGGTTGGGTTCTCATTGGCTTTCTTTAGCAGCTATGGATACTTGGTTGTCTCCACGGAGAAACATTTCCTGAAATTTCTTCATTTATGTCTTTAGAGCCAGAAACTTTTTCTAACTTTTTTTTTTCCACCCCCTTTAGGGCCAAAAACTTAATTCTAGACAAAAATTTAAACTTGGGTACATACATGAGACCATTTTTTAAAAAAATAAAAAATAAATTTACTATGATTGTCCTTTTTACTATTGCTTCTGTTTCTAATGTTATTAATCTTTTCAATGCTTAAGGGAGCAAGCTCGTAAGAAGAAAGAAGAGGAAGAGAAGCGAATGGAAAGAGAGAGGGAGAAGGTGATTCTTAATTTACTCGAGGATATGCCTTCTTGTCATATTGACTTTGTATTTTGTAGTACCATTTTTCAGCTATGAACTTATTGTGTCATATTATTATTGTTCTGTGTTACCAGAAAACGCTGATACCCTAGCGAATTATGTATTGCTACACACATTCCGAAACATGGTACTCTTCCGTTTCAAAATGGTAAATTTAGTGATCCGAAGTGATCCCAAATTTTTTTTTCCAATATATTTCCTTAAATGTTACCTTAGGAGGAATAAAAATTAAATATAATGAACTAAAATCTAAGGCGACTTAAGTTTTGACAAGACAAAAACATAAAAAATGGAAACATATATGTATATATATATTTTAGATGCCTAATAGTTAAAAGAAAATTACTCAAGAAATACCTTAAATTCTTAAAGTGTAATACATACAAGTCTACCCCTATCGTACCACATTTTAAAACATGTTTCATTCCATGTTCCAAGTAACATAGGTTCGGATTGGTTAAATAATAAAGAAATTGGAGTTAAAGTGAATTTTGTATGACTGAAGATATTATTACTGTGTATTTTTTGTGATTAAATGATATTCTAGAAAATGTTTCATCTGTTAAAGATAATTAATAACATCTGTATCTAATGTATACTGTGTTGTTTGCATTTATTATCATTCCATAGTTAAGAGATGTGTCTATTACAAAGCTTTCATTTTTTGTGTAAAATAAACTTTTGTGAATCTTCTTTTTCCCTTGTAGCTATTATAGGAGAATTCTTGTCAGTTCATATAAGGTTCACCCCTTTTGGCGGTTTCTTTAATATGATTTTCTTTACTTATCAAATATATATATTTCTCAAAGCATCTGCTTTGAAGCTTGTGAGCTTTTTTGAGCATCAGGACCCTACCAACAACCCCCCCTCTCTTACTTTTGAACAAGAATAGATTTTAAGATTGTATATTGTTGTTTTGGAAATTGTTTAGACTTCAAACAAACATAGAAATAATACTTCTGTAAACTGTTGGGAGTTCGTTATCTATGGAGACAATGGCTACGATTTATTTTTTGTTTGATGTTTGCTTCTGTTAAAATCCACCCACTACACCACTACCACCTCACCTACTCCACTAAACCTAACCCACTACACCACTACCACCTCCACTTCACCTACTCCACCTACCACCTACTACCACCTACTCTTCTATATATAGGAATCATTGTAACATTCAATAACAAAATATCAATCAATAATACAATTCTCTATTTCTCTTTATACATTAAATTTCTACAGCTTCTTTGTTTGCCCATATTTGTTTTCCTCCATACTACAAATTCAGTGTTAACGATGTATTTTACTTTTATTTGTGTGATGGTCCAAGATCATTATGTATTGGAAAGCTCTTCTTAGGTCAATTTCTATTTTCAAGTCTCTTTCATATCAATGATCTAGATATATGATGCACGATCTTGAATTTCTGATTTTCTATCTGGCCACTGTAATTCCATTCTCTTATGTTTTTTTAATCATGGTTTTCTTTTTTCTCTTTAGGAGAGGATTCGGGTGGGCAAAGAACTTCTTGATGCGAAGCGAATTGTGGAAGAAAATGAAAGAAAACGGTGGGGTTTATTCATAACATTTGTTTCTTCTGTTTTTGGTGCTACACGGTTATTTTATCTCATTGTATTACAAAACAATGTGTTCTGCTTTCACAGTGTGGTGGCCTCGCGGAAAGCTGAGAAAGAGGAAGAGAAAAGAGCTAGGGAGAAAATTCGACAAAAATTGGAAGAGGATAAGGTCCTGATAGTGTCTTGTTGTTCTGTTTTATATGCTAATACAAATACTCAAAATTAGCATGGTGGATTGATAATTCATTATTTACAGTAGAGCACTTTATTTGTGATTCAACTTAGATTTTATCGAGGGGTCTGACGGTGAAAATCTTAAAAAGTATATTTCAACCAATATATGGAAGGAAAGGATATGTGCTGAGAATTGCTCAGACATGTAAGAAGATTTAGTTTGAAACGTCTAGTAACCAGAAAACGAACAATAATAGAAAACAATCACCATGTGTGAAGTCAATGTTTGGCTATGGTTGTAAAATAAAGTGTTTCCACCATGAGAGCTATATGTGAGAATTAGGCTAGCAAGCCATGGACCAAACATTGATGAAATAAGGAATATGGTGAAAGTTGGAACATTTGGACAGGCACATATGGGAGGGAGAACCTTCTGAGTAGGCTAATGAAGATAGAAAGGAAGAGGGAGTGAGTGGAAATTGTCAAGCGGTGCCTTGCATTCTTCCAAGTCTTCCTTTGTTTAAGGCATGAAACAAATGGTTGTATCAGGAACAAGATATCCCTTTGTAATTTCTTGAAGCTACTTGAAAATTATTACGTGATTATAAATTATCATAATTTTTGTTTTTATTTTAAAAAAGCGATATATTTCACAGGCAGAAAGAAGGAGAAAGCTTGGATTGCCACCAGAAGATCCTGTTGTTGCAAAACCTTCGGCACCTGCTGTGGAGGAAAAGAAGGTTCGAATTCATCTGAATGAAAGTATAAATATCAGTCTCTGGTAATCTGTGGAATCTAATCAAAATTTGAGTTAAAAACATGTCTTCATATAAAAATTGCAGAGCTTAGTGCCAGTCAGGCCTGCCACGAAGGCAGAACAAATGAGAGAGTGCCTACGTTCTCTCAAGCAGAACCATAAGGTAATTAGTGATTGCTGCATGCACTGAGGACTTGTGTAGTTTGTTATCTAAGGAGAAGAATGTGTGAATATAGGTTGCTTCTGTATTAACCACCTCCTCCCCATCTCCAACAGAAAAAAAACAAGGAAACACAAATGCGATAAAATCTTTGTTACATGAATTCTTATAAATTTGTGAAGTACTCATCAGACACTTGACACTTGAGTAAGGATATGATATATATACGTTCAATATGAACCCAACAAGCATGTATAAGTAGTGAGTTTGCTATATAATTATGCAAAAAAAAGAGCATTTTATTCATAAAATGCTATATTTTGGTTTGTATACATTATTTTACCATTAAAAAATAAGTTATTGAGAAATATGAAGTCTAGCCATGTCTTAGGCAAATACCAGCTCGTGACACTTGTACCCAAGTGGATGTAATGTAGGGCAAAAACATAAAGAGAAGGAACAAGAAAAATGGATTTGCTGAAAAAAAGGAAAAATATTCATGTTTCTCCTCGATGAGTTGGATTTGATTTTGTTTGTCCTTGGAATAAAGTTCCATCTTCATTCTTTCATAAATGAAAGGCTTGTGTGTCCCAAAAATGATGCTTCCTTTGGCTTCAGAAATTGAAATGAAGAGTTTTGAATCCTTTTAACTAGTATCAAAACAATATTACAATCCGGTGAATTTAATGAATTTCATTGCTCAGTAACATCCATTTCATTTGTTTTCTGTGGTACTAGGACAATGAGGCCAAAGTAAAGATGGCATTTAATACTCTTCTGACTTATGCAAGGAATGTTGCAACAAATACCAATGAGGAGAAATTCCGAAAAATTAGACTCAGTAATGCCACCTTCCAGGTACGAATTTCCGTTAGATACTTTTCCAAAGCCAGAACACAAGTCAATATTGCAAACCAATAATTGGTTCCTTCTTTCATGATTGGTGGACTTTGTTATTGAATTTTTTAGATTTATGTAATTAATCAACATTCAGGATGGGTCTTATATATAACCATCAAATAAATATCTGTGATAACAAACCACTTTGTGTTTAACAGGCTAGAGTTGGTGCGTTGAAAGGTGGCATCAAGTTTCTTGAGTTGTGTGGGTTTAAGAAAATTGATGGCGGTGAGTTCTTGTTTCTACCCAGAGACAAAGTTGATATGGCAGTGCTGAACTCAGCTGGCACTGAACTGAATAGTGCAATAAACAATCCCTTCTTTGGTGTTCTCTAATCCCATACTTTTTAGGTTGAAAACACACACTGTAGAGAAGATGGTTGTTTTAAATACCTCCTTATAATTCAATTGGAATGCACTGGGAATTTCTTGTTTTGAAATTAGGGTCGTTTATAACTTCATATGTGGATGGAAATGGGGAAAAGCTATTATGAACTTGTATTGGAGCAAGGATCTCTCTTTCTCTCCCCTATGGTCTTTGCATTAGTTTATATATTTGCCAGATGTAGTGGATGATTTGTCTGGTGGTTGTTAAGCTTCTTCCATAATTCTCTGTTTTTTGAGTTTCTGGGTTGGAATTGAGACTCCAAATGGACCAAGTTCTTCATGAACATGCTCAGTTCATATAAGGCTTGTTCTATATATAAACAAGTTTGAGATAAATTTTGATTCAACAAAGCTTGTTTCACTAAGTGAAGATTTCCGTAAAATTTCATGACAAATGGTCTTTTGTTTTTGGTGTGCAATTGTAATAATCAATTGGAATGCACTTCATTTCCTATATGAAGTTCAAAGAATCTAACTAAATCTATCAAGAAAATTGTAATCAAAGAAGAAGGAAAAAATGGCAACATTAAAGTGGAAAAAAAAAAAAAAATCCAGCATTTTCTCTCTTTGATTCAGGACGGGGTGTATCAAAAGTCTTCAAAATGAAAACAAAAAAAATTGCAAATTCAAGTGCCTGATGTTTTTGAGCAATGCTGAACTTATTTTGGGATCAATCCCGCTAGGTAGCTCAAATCATTCAAGGCTCGAATGGCTCGAGATGTCAAAACAACACTTTCTTTTTCTTTTCTTTTTTTTGCTTTTTTTTGCTTTTTTCTTCCTCTGACTTCTGGTATCTGTTCTTTGTCTGTTTTTTTTTCTTTTTTCTTTTCTTCTTCCATAACTCATAATCAAAAAAAGAGAAAGGAGAGGAAAGATCCAAAAAAATAAAAATAAACAAGATTTGTGTATATACAGACAAATCTGCTCTATCACTCCTCTGTTTCTCCTCTTCTTCTTCTTATTCTTCTTCTTCTATATTTTCTGCTCCACCACCACATCACCCAAAATCAAAATCCACAGATCGGGGAACAGAGAGAGAGAGAGAGAGAAAAAGAGATACACAAAACAGAAAGAGAGAGATATACAAATCTATACAGATTTGTGTATACACACAAATCTATACACACAGAGAGAAAGAGATACACATAAACAAATCTATATAGATCTGTGTATACACACAGAGGATGGCAGCGCTGGTGATAAGTGGAGCTCTCTCTCTCTCTCTGTGTTCCCCCTTTCACTTCTCTCTTCCTCACTCTTTCTCTCTCTTTTCCTCTATCTCTTTGTTTCAGAGATAAAAGAGGAAAAAAATAAAAAAACAATCCGAAACAACGTCGTTTTTTAATTCGGGCTACTTGAGCTTCGAAAATTTTGAGCTCTGAAGCATTTTTCTTTTGTGATTCACCCTTTTTTTTTTTTTTTTTTTTTTGTAGGTTAAATTTGAGTTTCGTCCTATAATTTTATTGAGGGGAAATGTGCTGCAACTTTATTAATGCAATTTCAAGTGTAGAATGTCATGAGATGGTATAACTCAGTGAGTTCGAGATCAAATTATTAGGGATTAATTTGTTCAAAGAAATTATCTAGCATTCAAATAAAACAAAGAAAAAAATGACTTTGAATTTTTGGAAATGATTAGATAATTGAGAAAAGTTAACTAAACAATAAATTAAGATGACAAAAAATAAAAAGGTACTAAGGCATCAACAATCCTCCGTTAATACTTTTTTTTAAAATATTTATATTCAATTTGTATAACTCAATTGAGACAAACACAAAGGTATTCTCAATCGGAAGATAAAAAAATAACATTTCAAAAAAAAAAAATCATCCCCTTTTCTCTCTCTAAGTTTTCTCTCTTAGGGTTTTTTTCAGAGTGAGCTGCTTGAGAGGGGGAGGGGGGTTCCGGCCTCCCTCCGGCCACCTCCCTCCTCTCTCCCCCCCTTTTCTCTTCTATTTTCTGCAAAATAATCTTTGGGAGCTCTGTCTTCCCAATCTCTCCCTCTTTTTGAGGTGTTTCTTCCCCTTTGGGTGGTTTTTTTGAGTTTCCTCCTCCTCCCCCTTCATGCCGGAGCACGATCTGCAGGTTCTAGCCACAAAGGTATTCTCAATCGGAAGATAAAAATAATTATTTTATGTAAAAATAAATTTTAAGAGATTGATTATTTTGATTGAATGATTACACCATAAAAATTTAGTTATTTGACAAACACAAAAGGTATTCTTAATCGGAAGATAAAAACGATTATTTTAAGTAAAAATAAATTTTAAGAAATTGATTATTTTGACCGAATGATTATACCATAAAAATCTAGTTATTTGATTCGTAGACAATATTAAGTTTCTACTGTGTCCGGAGTTTATAATAAAATAAGAGATTATACAAAATAAAAACTTTTCCATGAAATTCTAATAATTTAATTCGCAGAGTATTATAAGCATATACCGTGTTGAAGTTAATGGTAAATCAAAGAATTATATAGAATAATTATTTTTTAAAATAAATAAACTAATCAATCAAAATAATTTAATATTAAAAATCATAAATAAATTATAAATATTTATATAAAAAAAAACGATTGAAGTTTTACACCAATTTTAATAAAAAAAAAAAACTTAAAACACCATAGAAATAAATTAAAACAATATGTAAAGTTTTCTCGGAATGTTCCCTCGTTCAGCTCTTATCTATCTATTTAATGGTTCAAGGTAGGTGGTAATTCTTCTCCAGGATGAGATCATTCTTCCAATGAACTTCTTGCCTTGCATCATTTATCCAATTAGATTAGGGAAATTCTAATATATATATTTTTTTAAAAAGGTAAATTATATATATTTTTAATTATGTTTTTTTTTTTTAATTATGGACTAATTTTTTTTGGGATGACTCAAAAAATTTAAATTATATTATTATTTTTTTAATTATAAGATGCATATGGTACACATAGTTTCAAGAATTTTCACAATAATCCCAGAATATAAACCCGTGATATTTTATAATATTGTAATTAGCAGATAAAGTAAATCTGTGAGGTATTGTACTGAGTAATTAAGAAACAAAATGATAATAATAATAATTAATTAAAAAATACCGACACATACACCATGATATTCCCATTAGATTAACATCATGCCACCATTCATCCAATAACCTTTTTGAAACCATAGCATCCAACAAATAGAATCCAATTCACTCTGTTTGGTTTTTGTTTTACATTTATATATTTTTTATCTTTACTGAATTTTTTTAATTTTTAGGCATACTTAACATAAATGTATTTAAAAAATACAATATTTATAATTTTTTTTAAAAAAATCACTAAATACCAAAAATATAAAATAAATAACAAAAATTCAATATATTTTTTGTATTTTTGTGTATCTATTAATTTTTTAAAATATTTTTTCACAAATATTTTACTATTTAAATACATCTACCTCTCCTAGGGTTTCTCTTGAACGCGCCGCTCGAGGTGGGAGAGGAGGGCTTCAACTTCCAGCCACCTCTCTCCTCCCTTCTATCCCTCTTTTTCTTTCATTTTCCTTGTCCTGTTTGCATCAATAAACTTTGGGAGCCTAGTCTTCTCATCTTTTCCCTCCATGTGAGGTGCTTTCCCCTCTTGGTGGAATCTTTACTCTTCATCTCCTTTCTTCTTCTTTTTGACTTCCTCAACCAGCGCCTCACCGGATCTGTCAAATTGCGCTCTACGATCCTTCTCATCCAAATCCATCGAATTCGCCACTTTCCTCCATCCCGCTAGTATGGATCTACTCGAGGGACGGAACTAGGATTTCATTATCGGAGAGGCCAAAAGAAAATAATTTTTGTCACCATATACACAAAACATACATGTACATATAATATTATATAAATAAATTACATATACATAAAAAAAATTTAAATACCATAGAAGATCACAGAGACCTTACTTAATTTTCTATCTAATCCTAATTTCACCTCCTTGATTCATGAATTTTACCTCTGAAAGGAGCCACAATCATTACTTTCACCTCCTTAATTCATGCTGCCAATGGTGAATATGTTTGTGGATGTTTCTGTGTAATATTTATTTATTTTACAGGCACTGATTAGCACAATGGGGGACTACATTGGAAGCACATCTCATACTCAAGGTGGAATGGTCAACAATATCAACAATCAAAGTTCGATAGTACCATCAAAATTTGTTGACTTGAATATAGACGCGGATCTAAATGCCCTTTTTTTTTTAGTTTCGAAGTGCTAATTTTAGGTGAATTTCATTTATAAACTTCAAATTGTTTGGCATCATTTGAAAATTGGTGGAATTGGTGATTGTTCCATTTTATGTTCAATTTTATGTTCAATTCAATTACAGGTTCATTTTAGGTTCAATTGAATTATAGGTTGAATTGGTGGCTGCTCCAATTGGTGGAATTGGTGATTGTTTGGCTCCATTTTAGGTTCAATTGAATTACCGGTTGAATTGGTGGCTGTTCCAATTGGTGGAATTAGTGACTGTAGTGTGTTCGTAAGGTAAACAATTTGTAGTGCTGTTATTATTTGTAGTAGATCATTTTATCCTAGGAAATAGACGTCCAATTTCTGAAAGCACCGTGGAGAGGACGAATCTGTCTTAAGGACACAGTGTCAAACACTGTATTTGATCAGATTATAATTCGAAGAAATTAAATCAAGTAAGTTATTTAATTTATTTCCAGTCTTTTATTATTTATTTAAATCAGATTTTAATTTTGTTTTTGTAACAAAATAAAATCTGTTTTTATTTATTTATTTTTATATTTATTTCGAGTTTGATTTTTGTAATCAAACAAATTCTCTCATTTTCTTTATTTCTTTATATTCTGGTTGTTGTTTAGTACACAACATAATTTAATTAATTTATATACAGTGAAGATTGTCCAACATCCGCCACTTTCCTCCATCCCACTGGTATGGATCTACTCCAGAGACGGAACCAGGATTTCATTATCGGAGGGGCCAAAAGAAAATAATTTTTGTCACCATATACACAAAACATACATGTACATATAATATTATATAAATAAATTACATATGCATAAAAAAAATTTAAATACCATAGAAGAAATTTCTAATAAGATGAAGAAGTTTTTTTGGGTGTAAAATAGAAAAAGAATTCAAAATGAAAGAAGAATGACATATATATTTTTTTATACTATGGGCCATTTTATGTATAAAATGACATATATATTTTCAAAATTCAATGGCAAACAATAATTTTCAGAAATAGGGGGGCTATGGCCCCCCATAGTCTTCTCCTAATTCCGTCCCTGATCTACTCCAAATCTACCACGGATCTAGTTTGAGGTTGTGTTTGTGGTTTTTTGTTTTTGTTTGTATTTTGAGTCCATCATGATCTATCCTCTGCTTGCAATACGAGCACAAGCACAAGCACAAGCACATGTTGTGCAACTAGATATTCTTCAAAGATTTACTCATGTGTGTTGTTTGTTTTCATTTTTCCTTTACTTGATAAAAGTATATCTTTTAGATAGATTCCTCTTTAGCTACTCTACTGGATATTTCTATTTTGATAAAAAATAAAAATATAAAATTTACATCTAAAAATATAAAAAGAAAATTCTTACAATTTTAAAAATATTTATTAAAAATAAAAAAATTAATTGCTAAAAAATTAAATCCAAGAAATTAAAACGAAACGCACATGCCTCTTCGAAACCATATCATCCAACAAATAGAATCCAATTGTTTTGCTTCGCACGTGAATCACTTCTATTCAATTGGCCATGACACGTTGGTTGCTGCTGAATAGAGTTTGGGTTCAATTTGACTTATTTTTCTTCATTTTTTTCTTAAATTATCAATTAGCCTCGATCTTCATCTCAATTTCAAATTATTGTTTAAAAAGTAAAATTAAATGATTTAATTCATAGATAAAAATAAAATGAGAGAATTGATTTAATAAAAATGTATTAGTGATTACATAGAATAAAATAAGTATACATTTTTAACCATGCATCAAAATGCCATGATGTCTATCCTATGTACCCTATTACAAAAATATGTAATTCTATTATAAAATAAAGTTTTCTAATATCAATCACGAAATGTGTAAACTCGCTATAAATTAGCATAACAAAAATATTCAAAATTTTGTCAATTTATGACAAGATTACGTATTTTTGTAATTAATGTTTCAAAATTTAATGATAAAATTACACATTTTTATAATAAAATGCATATAATATATATTATATGCTATTTGGGATGTATACCATAACATTTCCCTTTAATGAGAAGGAGCTCAATTATTAGACTCGTAAAAAAAAAAAAAAAAATCATTGTTTTATTGTCTAAAATTTTAATTTTTCAAATATTTAATTACATAAAATCTCATTTTTTATGTCTAATTTGAGATTTCCAAAAATCCTAATCCGATACTGATTTTAATTTAGCAAATTTATAATTTAATTTTTATAATTTTAATTTTATCAATCTAAATACATTTTTAATTACGTTTAAAATTTAAAAAAAAAAAATTCATTTGTGATGTATAATCTCGTATGGGTCTAGCTACTTTGGACTGAAGAGTGATGTTGGGTCGCAGTAAGCCCAACTCCAGATCTATCTTAATAATCTAGTAAAATTTGTAGAGTTCGTTGAGTGTATTATTCTTAAAAAACTCGCTAGATATCATTAACCATTTGATCAACTTACATTTGTGTTTGCGATTTATTTTTAAAACGATAATTACTGTTGAAACAAATGCAATTTGTTCAAATGGCTATCGATATCTAACAATGCGATTTTTTTCAGGAATAATGTACTTAACGAACTCTACATATTGAACTGTTTGAATTATCGAAATAGATCCAAAATTGAGCCCACCATGGCCTAACAACATCATTTAATTTGATTTCGGACTACCAAGAATGTGACGATTTCATATTACAGAAATGTTAAAAGTTACAAAAAATTTACCAAATTTTTTATTAAATATCTCACATGTATAAGATCCATACAATATAAGTCCTATATGAGTATGAAAGATATTTGATAAAAAATTTAATAAAACTTGGTCTCTAACATTACTTTTTTGTATTATAACCTCTTTTGACAATTAAATTAAAAACCAATTTATTATTTTTTTTAAATTACATCATTTTAAAAAAAAAATTACACATTAGTTTTAAAAAAAATTTTAAAAAAATTAAAACACCAATTTTTAATTTACATCCCAAAATAGACCTGTGTCGTGATGTGCTTAAATGGATGAATCTGGGGAAAAGTGTAACCTGAATGAAGACAACTCCAGCATTTGTGTTATTTTTTTTAAAGAAAAAATGCTAACCGACCAAATGATTATTTAATAAAATAATGCGAGGATTAAATGGATGAACAATTTCAACTCAGGAAACAGAGGGATTTGGATCATCTGTATTCTGTCCATATTTCAACTCCATTCTCAGAGAGAGAGAGAGAGAGAGAGAGAGAGATGGATAGGAGAGAAGTGAAGGACGAAGAAGAAGAGCATGAGATTGTGATAGTCGGCGGTGGGATTTGCGGTCTTGCCACCGCCCTTGCTCTACACAGGTTGCTCTTTTTTCTTTTTTTTTTTAAATGGTAAATGGAGATGTATTGTGATATTTAATGAGGAAATTGATTAATAAAAAAACAAAAAATGAACACAAAAATGCTATTGAAAAGTGCAGGAAGGGTGTGAGAAGTGTGGTTTTGGAAAAATCAGAGACTTTGAGGGCAACTGGTGCAGCTATTGCGATCTTGGATAATGGTTGGCTCGCTCTTCATCAGCTTGGCCTCGCTTCTCTTCTCAGACAATCTTCTCTTCCTCTTCAGCGGTATATATATATATATATATATTCACACACTAGATGTTTGAATTTTCCATGTGTGTTTGAAATTCATAGTTGTAAGGATTGGGCTTCCTCCCTGTCCAAATCTCGACCGGAGGCTGCTATCTACGGGTTTGATTTTGATTTTAATGATTTGAACCCATCATCTTATTAGATTTAGATTTTGCGTGTATGTAGATTAGGTCCATATGATATTCGTAGGCAATTAATTTTATCGAATTGGTCTCTAAAAAAATTAACGGTGAATGTGTTTTAAAAATAAATTATCTATTTTTGTGATAAAATAAACAATTTATCTAATTTTTTTTTTTATATAACAAAATGAACAGTTTAGATTATTGTAACGGACCATGATAGCCCTGTGAGCCCTTACAATAACTGGCCATGATAGCCCTGTGAGCCCTTACAATATCCTTTTGGACTGGAGAAAAATCGATCCCAATAATATATATACATACCCCAGTAATGATGTTTGTAGTTTTTATTTATGAATTATTGTGTTGTATTTGTTATAATTTGGTTACAACCGAAAATGTTTTTTATTATACCTTTATATGGTATTTGGTTATCACTCATTAAATTTTTGATAATAACTTCCTTACGAAAATGAATCACTCATAGAATAGATATACAAATTTACATCTTTTTTTCGCCCTACCACGTACTGATTGATAAGTCAATGATTTACTTTGTGTTTTTATATTCCGCATATAAGGGTCCCAGAAGTGTTATTCATTAGAGAAATGCTATTCCTATTTCAATTTTTTATAAATGCTCTAAAAGAAAGAAAAGAGTGATGGAGGACATGAACAAAATAGAGGACCAAAAAATAAAATTATATGATTATTATTTATTATGACTTGGATAACTCCAACATGGAGCCTTATGCAAAAGCTTATTATCTTATCAATGAAGTAAAAGCGAGATTTATGTTAAAATAATATCACAGTCAACAACCTCCAATTTTGATGGGAACTTTTTCTGATTTTCCATGATTATTTTTTTTGTTTTGTTTTATGCAATTTTTATTTATTTTGTAACTTTGACTTAAATTAGTAGTTAGTGAATGGTGGTTGATAAGTAGTGAAAAACGAGTTACAAATACAATAACAATACTATACTGCTTGAGCACCTTTGCTATTTTAGCATAATAAATATTAATGAATGGAGCAACTCATAACAAGTCTGTTTATGTGCACTTTTACTGTGATAAAATAACTCCTAAAAAGAAAATTTTCTACACCTTTGGAAATGCTCTTAGGTATGAAGCTTAAAGCAACACATTGGGTATGGAGATCCAAGTTTTGTATTGGGGAGCACCAAAATGATGCTCTTAGGTATGAAGCTTAAAGCAACACATTGGGTATGGAGATCCAAGTTTTGTATTGGGGAGCACCAAAATGATGCTCTTAGGTATGAAGCTTAAAGCAACACATTGGGTATGGAGATCCAAGTTTTGTATTGGGGAGCACCAAAATGATGCTCTTAGGTATGAAGCTTAAAGCAACACATTGGGTATGGAGATCCAAGTTTTGTATTGGGGCACGTTTTGTTGTTTAAATTTCATTTGTGACCGAATTTTTTTTTTCCCGTTCCCGCTGTGTTTCCCCCCATTTTTTTTGTCATTCCCGTTTTGTAACCCCCCAACCCAAACAAAAAATCCTCAATCTCAAACCACCCCGGCCAAAACCAAAAATCCCTAATCTCTTCTTACCCCCCTCTCTGTCTCTTTTCACCCATTTTTCATATTCCTCTCTCTCTTCTCTTTCTCTCTTTCACTCATCACTCTTCTCTGTCTGTCTGTCTGTTTGTCTATCTGTCTCTCTTTCTCTCTGTGTGTCTCTCTCTCATCTATCTTTTCTCTCTGTCTCTTTCGTTCATCACTCTTCTCTCTATTTCTCTTGTTTATCTCTATTCTCTCTCTGTCTCTTTTTCTGTCTCTCACTCTCTATCTTTTTCTCTCTTTGTCTTTCTCTTTTCTCTTTCTCTCTCTAACTCATCACTCTTCTCTGTCTGTCTGTCTCTGTCTCTGTCTCTCTCTCTTTGTCTCTCGTTCATCTCTCTTCTCTCTATCTCTCTCATCTGTCTTCTCTCTCTGCCTCTCTCACTTATCTTTCTTCTCTTTATCTCTCTCTCGCTCATCTCTCTTCTCTCTATCTCTCTCATCTCTTTTCTCTCTATGTCTTTCTCGCTCATTTCTATATATCTCTCTCTCGCTCATTTTTCTTCTCTCTCTATGTCTTTCTCTCGTTCATCTCTTTTTGTTCTCTTTCTCTCTCTTTTTGTCTATCTCTCGCTTATCACTTGTTTCTCTCTTTTTCTGTCTGTCTGTCTGTCTCTCTCTCTTTCTCTTTCTGTCTCTCACTCTTTTTCACAACTTTATTATTTTCTCTCTTTTTTTCTCTCTATCTGTCTGTCTATTTGTCTCCCATTCATTGTGTTCGCCTTGCTTACTCCCCTTTTCCTTCTTCTCTATTTACTAAGCTATCTTTTAATTTATCGAGACACTACAAGAAAATGCACTTTTTGTGACCACTTTGTCTTTCTATCGCTCACCATTCTGTCTCTGTCTCTATCTCTCTTCTCTATCTGTCTCTTACTCATTTCTCTCTCACTACCCATCTCCTCTACCACCTTCACCACTACTGCAAATGGTATTCCACTACCACAACTACTACCACTGTTGCCATTCCGCCTCTACGACTATTATTACTACTACAATCACCACCACTCCACTACCACCATTACTACTACAATTACCTCTCATCCACCACCGCTACTCTATCTCCTCTACCACTACCACAACTTCACCACTAATCTCATTCGATATCACCACCATCACCACTATTACCTCTTATCCACCACCTTCACCACTACTGCCATTCCCTATCCTCTACCACAAAAAATTAGTTCCTGATTTTTAGTAACCCCCAATCTCCCCCACTCGGCCCACCATTTTTTTTCCATTCCCGTTCGGGTTACCAAAAGCCCCCAATCCTGTCTCTTTGTCTCTATCTCTCTTCTCTTTCTCTTTCTCACTCATCACTTTTTTCTGTCTGTCTGTCTCTCTCTTTCTCTCTATGTCTCTATCTCTCTTCTCTTTCTCTCTCTCACTCATCACTCTTCTCTGTCTGTTTCTCTGTCTCTCTCTTTCTCTCTGTGTCTCTCGTTCATCTCTCTTCTCTCCATCTCTCTCTGTCTTTCTCTCGTTTATATCTTTTTCGCTCTTTGTCTCTATTTTTCTTTGTCTATCTCTTTTCACCAATTTTTTCATCTTCCTCTCTCTCTTCTCTTTCTCTCTATTACTCATCACTCTCCTCTCTCTGTCTGTCTCTCTCCCCCTCTCTCTCTGTGTCTCTCACTCATCTATCTCTTCTCTCATATATTTTCTCTCTCTATCTCTATCTCTCTTACTCATCTCTCTTCTCTCTCGCTCATCTTTCTTCTCTCTCTATCTCTCTCTTTTTCTATGTCTTTCTCTCGATCATCTCTTTTCACTCCCTTTATCTCTCTTTGTCTATCTCTCATTCATCTCTTATTTCTCTCTCTTTTTCTGTCTGTCTGTCTGTCTCTTTCTGTCTCTCCATATCTCTTTCTCTCTCTGTCTCTATTACCTCTTTTCCAACACCGCCACTCCGTCTCCTCTACCACTACCACAACTTCACCACTAATCTCTTTTGCCATCACCACCACCACTACCACCACCATCACCTCTTATCCACCACCTTCACTATTATTGCCGCTCCCTCTTCTCTACCACAAAAAATTAGCTCTTGATTTTTAATAACAAAAAAAATGGGTCACAAAAAAATATTTTTTATTGACCATAAAAAATTAATTTTATTTTAACAAACAATATTTTTTTATTAAAATATTACCTCTACTTCTACCAAATAAAAAAAATCATTAAAATAAAAATAAAACAAATTTCCCTCGTTCTTCACTGACTCACTGGACGGCCCGCCCAAACTTTCCCCCATTTTTTTCCCTCTGCCTTTCCACCCTTTTTTTCATTTCCTTTCAGGTTTGTAGAGCCCCTAGTTTCACAACACTGTTTCAAAACAGTGAGCAAACCTTAATCTGAGTGAGAGAAGATAGAGGGTTTGAAGACAGACTGGGGTTGAAGGGGAAGGGTTTCAATCGACGGCGAGACTGGTTCAGCAGCGGCGAGACTAGTTCGGCGGCGAAACGGTACGCTTCTTTTGACTCTTCTTTCGACTCTCTCATTCCAGTCGGTTCCTCTATCGACTGGGTTGAAATGGTTCCTCTATATCTCTATATTGCCCCCACCGCCATAGCCATGGCAGCTTATTAGTGGTGGTGGTTGTTTTCTGCGAGCATCGGTAATGTCGCAGACGCGGCAGCAAGAGGACTCCAAGGGTCGTTCGCCATAGCCATACAAACTCCAGTCTTCACTTTATAATAGTATAGATGATTTTGTCTTAGAAGATACATTGTTTAAACTGAAAAATATGTTTTGAATCCACCACTCTTTTTTGGTATGTTTGCTACTTGACCTCATTTTGCTATTGAATTGTTTGGTCATTTGCATTTTTTAAGTTTTTGGAGAAAAAAAAATGGTAGAAGTAGAGTTAGAAAACATCTATCATTTTCATGTTGTTTTTAGTTTGACACAATTTTGAAAAATTTACAAAACGAGAAATTTTTTTAGGTCTTTATTAATTTCCAACATTTTGTACACTTTTTTGAAATTTTTTTAGGTCTTTATTAATTTTCAAAACACCATTAGGTGAAGAAATTGATAGGTCCTCAATAAAGATATCATGAGAAAATATAGAGTAATCCTTATGACATTGATATAAGATTGTATGTTAGTTGAATTGTAAGTTATTCAAATTTGATTTGAAAACTTAACTAGTTTCAAAATATGTTTGAGGGTGGCTTGTTTACCTTTCTAGTTGAACTCAAATGAGCTTTTCTAGATGCTTTTGAGAAGGTTTGAACATGAAAAGCAAAAGTTGCAAGCTGTTATACAGACCACCAAGCATTCATTTCCACTCACAAATTCAGCTGCTTGATGCATTTTCTCCACTGATGTATTGTGTAGAAGGTCTGGCTTTGATAGTTGGCAGGGCACCATTCCTATAATTGACAACACAAGTGTTTTCTTGGATATGGAGCTACTTCAAGAGTTGTCACAGATTGTTTTGGTTGATGCAGAAGAATTGCAACTGGTATGATCACTTATTCCCATTTATTCGTTGATTTGTCTAGTTGCACTGAAATCATCTAATACATCTCTACTCACAATTTTCTTGAGTAAGCTGTAATAGCAATGTGTACTCAGTGTATGATTCCTTAACTTGATGGTTTTCCTAGAGTAGACATGTGCTTTGCCTCAAACTATATGCGGTTACTTTGCTGATGGTACTAGTTTACTTTTGGAGGAAAATGGTATTACATTTTTAATTCAAATTTGTTTCAGTACCTGATCTTTTTTCTAATGTAGAGGTTTTTAAATTTTGGTTTTTGGAAAGTTTTATATGCTTCCCAGGTGAATATGATGTAATATTTTTGTAACTTGCCAATTTGTTTGGCTAGAATTGCAAAAAAGGGGAAAAGAAATCTAAGATAAATATTGTTTGCACTGCACTTTTTGATACATTACAATTACATGCTGATCATGAGATGTCAAAGGTAGTTGGGTGAGAGGTCACAGCTGAATAAGCCTTGATACATTGCAAAAAAGGGGAAAATAAATCTAAGGTAGCTATTGTTTGTACTGCATTTTTTGATAAATTACAATTACATCCTGATCATGAGATGTCAAAGATAGTTGGGTGAGAGGTCACGGCTGAATAAGCCTTGATATAACAGAATCAGAATACAATATAATAATTATTATCTCTGTTATCAGAATCTTACGATTTACGATTCGCGATTCAATTCACGATTCGATACGCAATTTTTGCAAAATCGATACGAATCTATGAGTGAATCTATTTTGGAAGTGAATCTCTAGTGAATCAATTCACAATCGATTCACAATTCGATTCACTTTTTACGATTCATGCAATTTTTAAAATTATTGTGTTCAACATATTTTCGACTCATTTTTTTCATCTTTTTAGTGAAAATAACATAATACAACTTCTAATAACATTTAATACCAAAAATAATCAACATATTTATATGGTTTGTTATTATTTTAGTGATCATGGAGTTTTTTATAGGATCCAATCAGATTCAGTCAGACCTAACATATTCTTAACATTTCTTCTCATTTTTTTCCCCTTCAAAAAATTGTAATATATCTTCTAAAGATGTTTAAGATTAAAGTTACACTATGAATTATCTATTACTATTTTA